TTTTTTTTTGGGGGGGGGAAGAAAATGGGGAGGGGGTACCACACACCCCAGCCCCCTCCAAAAAAAAATTATTAAAAAAAAAACCAAACAGACGAGAAGAAGGAGAGAGAGAAATTAGTGTTCTTAGCGCGAATTAATCTCCTTGCAAAAACGATACGGAGGGAGAGAGAGAGAGAGAAAGGAGAATAATCCAGGCTAGAATGGGGAGGGGGTGACTGGGGAAGGGGATTAAGGGGGTTCTATAGGATTCTGCCTGCAAAATCATCTTAAATTTTGAGAGAGCTTTTTAAACCCCTCGGGAATTACTCAGAGGAAAGGAGCCACGTTGTGCCAAGGTAGGTAAAGCTGTGGGGGTTACACCTGGGCCGGGTTGGGTGGGGAGAGCACCCCTGGTTTAGTCTCCTCTGTTTTGGGGTGCTCAGAGTGATGCTCAGCACTAGGAGCTATGGGATTATCCTTCTGCTCTGGCAGGTGCTTTGGAAAGGATTTTGCGCTGGGTTTGAGGCTCTTCCTAAGAGAGGAGAATAGTCCAGGGGGGGTCCAAAGGAACCTACTCCATCACCCCTTTCCTGCCTGCTGAGGATGCTTTGAAATGGAAAATAACCTTAGTGAAATTCGCTGGGAGAAACTTCCTCGACGTGGGATGTTTTCCCAGGGAAAAGGTGTGTGTGGGGTGGGGAGGGGGGGATAGAGAGGGGTTACCTTTAATTTGGGAGCAGAGGAGGAGAGGGGGAGAATTCTTGGAGGTGTGGAGGGGGGAAAAATTCTGCTAGACGCTAGGGGTGCTGGTTTGCAAACACCAAGCCCTTGGGTCACCGGGAAGGGAAATTAAAGCGGATTTTTTTTTTTTAAAAGGATGTGGGAGGGGGGTAAAAATACAGAATAGGCCTAGTTATTTCTAGTCAGACTCTTCTCCTCGGCTAGGAGATAGTTACGGTCCCGGCTGAGAGGAAATATAGCAAAATAAATCAGTGGAGGGATTGGAATGAAGAATAAAATCCAAGAGGCAAAAAAAAAAAAATTAAAAAAAAAAATAAAAGGAGCTGTAATGGGATTGGTTGTGTAGAATTATTTTATGGTATCTATCTAAGCGTTGTACAAGCAGATTTGATTTGGCTTCTTACTTTTATGGCAGGTTTTAGATGGGAAGGTGAATTTGAGGCTTGCAGAACGGTGGAGGTGCTGGTTTTGGGAGGTGGAAACTGTGTAAAAAAAGGCTTTGCTTCGCTGCTTTTGCAGGAAATTTGCGGCTTATTTATGCGTAGAAAATGATTTGGGGATTGTCCTAGGTGTATTTGGTTGTTTTTTTCCTTAAAATACTACTTAATTTTTCTGTTTAGCTGAGAATGAAAGGCTTTCTCAGGAAAAACCGACTATTCACCTGAAAAATTCCCTGGCATGACGAATCGGGAGAACCGTGAGGATTCCACTCGGGCCAGAACTATTTTGTGCTAGGAAAAAATCAGGAGTTTCTGAAATTATTGAAGATATTTGTCAGGAATTTTCATGTAGGGGAAACAGGTTTTCTCTGATAGACTCTCTGCTGCGGCATTTAAGTGTAATTAATTCGGGAGATTCTCGACCAAAAAATGTTTTGCCTTTTGAAATACCAGAAAAAGAGGGAGGGGGGAAAAAGGGGAAAAAAAAAGAGGGGTTGCTATACTTTTAATCTCTTGGGCAACTGTAATTTTAAACGAAATCTCAACATGATGCTACCCTCATTAGTTCCGAATGAAGGTTCATTACCTAGACAGTATGAATATTTTATTGCTTTATATCCCTTTTTCGGAAATGAAACGCCTTTGATCTTTTTCTCGGGTTGTAAAAAGAATTGCCTGTCATTAAAAAAAAAACCTGTCGTCCCATCTGCCTTTACATTCTGTATTTCTTTTCATCTGTTTCTTGTTTTTTGGTTTTTTTTTCCTATAATTTATCCGCACACTCACGTCTAAACCCAAACCTTGGTTGACCTCCAAGAACGAAAAATGGATGAAATCTTTGCGTTGCGGCTCAAAAAATAATTCCGAGGGTTTCAGGGTGGGGTGGGGACGGAACTGTGGCATTTTGCTTTGAAAAGATGTAGGGATTAGATGTCCTATTATATCTCCATAGCATTTTTATACTCTTTTTTTTTTTTTTTTTTTTTTAGCCCAGCGAGAAATTAATGGACAAGGTATAGAGGAGACGGTGGCAAAATTCTAGTGTTTCTCTCCCAGGATCAGCTATTCGTGTGCTTGAATGAATTGCCTTTCTACTCCAGAGTGAATATTTTTTAACCAGCTTTACCTATAGATTAATTCTTGATCTCTCGAGCCACAAAACTTTCCCCTCCTTACCCCAGAAGAGAATTATGGCAATAGGAGAAGATCTCTGACCAAGGAGGACGCATCTGTCTTCTATATGTACCCTGTAGATCCGAATTTGTGTAAAGGAAGTTGGGTCACAAATTCGTATCTAGGGGAATATGTAGTTGACACAAACACTACAGGTCACAAACCCAGAAGGCATTAACCCCCCCCCAAAAAAAAAAAACAACCAAAAAACCAAACCACCTACACCCCAGACCCTAAATAAAAGGGTGAAAAACAAGGTCTTAACTAGAAAACCGTTTTCTAGCTAAAAAGAAATACTTTGGATTTGACCTTAGCTCCACTCCAGAGCTCCTGCGAGAAACTTTTAGCATCACTTGGAGAGAAAATCGGAGCTGCAAAGAGGATGGGGAAGGAGGGGGAGGGAGGGTACAGGGCGTTATTGCTGCGATTTGAGTGCCAGGATCCTACTATTGCTTTCATTTGGGTAATCTCAGCACCGACACGGAGAAAAAAAAAATTATTACTGCTTTTTTGCGCGCCGTTTGTGAGGAGTTTACTGCGCATTTCGGGTCTAAACGCGAATTGGAGGAATTAGGGGTGGCTTTTGAGAAGCTGCTGGCTTTTAAAGAGTCTTTATTACGAGAAGGGCGAGGCGAAGATGCATTAGGACTCGGGTTAATTCGCTTTTGTAATTGTTCATCAAGTCCTTGATTTCTTGCTCGGGAACGGGGTTGTTTTTTTTTTTTTTCTTTTTTTTTTTTTTTTTTTTTTTGCCAGCGGTGCGTGGGAAAATAGTCAATCTTAACAGCAGCTAAATGTGATTTAGGAGCCCGGGTACCCCGAATTAGCTGATGAATTTCTTATCGATCCCAAACAAGCTCTATTCATCTCTGCCAGGCTCGGGGCATAATATCCCTTCCCGTATCACCTTAGCAGGGAATGAGATACAACCCCCACCACCCTTGGGGGGGGGGGGGGAAGGAAAAAGGGGGAGTCAAATCTACTCATATACTGAGGAGATGCTGCGAACCCCTTGAAAAATCATTTTTACCTTCTAATCTCATGATCCCTTTATTTTTTCCGCTTTTTTTGGGGGGGAATTTTTATTTTCCCACCCTTTCTTGCTTTCAGTTCCCCAAGCCAGGCGAGGGGTGTGAGCCGAGGGGGTGTCGGTTCTCGCCCAAAGGGCTCAGAGCATCCTTAGGCTAGCAGGGCCGGGGGAGGTTGGAGGGGAACGCTCGCCCCTCGGTCGCCTCCCTGGGGATGTTGGTGGCCCCGGGAGAGCCCAAACTGGGCAGGTTTCCTTATCCGGGGCTCGTCGTGCCCCTCGCTATTGGCCCGCGCTGTCACATGGACTCAACTTTGTTCACTTGACAGTAAGTAGGAGGGTTCCACGAAACAGGAAAACGAGTAAAGAGAAAAGAGAAAAGAGAGGGGGGGGGGTGTTAAAAAACCGGGAATAATTTTTTAGGCTAGAGAGAGAGAGAGAGAGAAAGAGAGAGAGAGAAAGAGAGAGAGAGATAGAGAGAGATATCTATTATTTTTTTTTTTTTTGTCGTGTGTGCAATTCTAAGAAATTAATGGCCATGAGTTCGTTTTTGATCAACTCCAACTATGTGGATCCCAAGTTCCCACCCTGTGAAGAGTATTCCCACAGCGATTACCTTCCCAATCACTCGCCGGAATATTACAGCAGCCAGAGGCGAGAAAATAATTTCCAACATGATGCGATGTACCAGCCGAGATCAGCCTGCAAGGAACAGCTCTACTCGTCCTGTCAGAGCTCCAGCCACCAAGCAGCGGTGTTATCCCCCCGGGGTCATGTCCATCCTCCGGCAGGATTGCAGAATCACCTCTCTGAGCCCAACCAGCCCTGCGAGCCTCTCACCCCTAGCCCACCACCCTCCTGCAGCCAAAACTCTCTGAACCAAAGCCCTTCCAATTCCTCTTGCAAAGAGCCGGTAGTTTACCCCTGGATGAAAAAAGTCCATGTAAGCACGGGTAAGTGAACTTCAAGTGGCTTTGCTTTATAGTAAGTAGCACCTCAAAGTCTTGTAGAAATCTTATTGCACCAGTTGTAAAATAACCATTCGAGGAGATTTACGAGCGCCTGTTTGCAGAGCGGTATAATTACATCCTCCATAAATTTTTATTGCTCTGCTTGGCCATGTGCCTTTGAAGTCTCTGTTACCATCCTCCTCCAATTTCTTGCAGGCTACTCTTTTCTTTTTTTTTTCTTTTTTTATGGCTGTTGAATCTTCATAAGTTAAGTTTTATGTTTTCCTAATTTGTATTTAAGTGGCGGGTTGATATCCACAGCTGGAGCTGTTGGTCCTAGCTAAAGCATGTAGTGGCTTTTTTTTTTTGGTTTTTTTTTTTTTTTTAGGGTGATATTTAATATATAGGAGTGTCCGTGCTCTCCTTTTTGCATGTGTGTAGGGAGAACTTTAAAGATTTGGGGCTGAGTGATGCTCTAGTCGAGGTGTGTATATATATATGTGTATATACACACGTAGAGGGCATGGAAAATGTGTCTGCGGGACCTTAGGAAAACGTTTAGACAGGAATACACGTCAAGCAACGAGGATGGAGGTGGAGATTTCCAGATAGGTTCTGGGTATATTTTTAGAACCTTTGCCATGTATTTTTTTTTTTTTAGTCTATTCCCCCTACCGAAAGAATGTGTGATGCTTTTTTTTTTTTTATCTGTGCGGGAGGGAAAGAAACATTAAAGGAACAGCTCGGTAATTCTTCTGCTCTTTTTTTTTTTTTTTTTGGTTGTTGTTTTTTCTCCTCCTTTTTTTTTTTTTTTCCTTTTTTTTTTTTTTCTTTTCCTCCTTTGTGTTTGTTCAGTAAATCCCAATTACTCAGGAGGGGAACCGAAACGCTCCCGTACAGCCTACACCAGGCAGCAAGTCCTGGAGCTGGAGAAGGAATTTCACTATAACCGTTATCTCACCAGGAGACGCAGAGTCGAGATCGCCCATTCCCTCTGCCTCTCCGAACGCCAGATCAAAATCTGGTTCCAGAACAGGAGGATGAAATGGAAAAAAGATCACAAGTTACCAAATACCAAGATCAGGTCTAATTCTTCCAACTCCTCTACCAACCTGCAGATCCCCCAAGGAGGATCTCAAACTCGATCCCATGGACCAAGCACCAACCTATAACTATTCCTTGGATGGATGGAAGTGTGTGCGTGTTTG